TCTGGAGAAACAAAAGAATTTCTACAACAATGGGGCATAACTCATCGCATTTCATCAGCCCACCACCCACAATCTAATGGAAAAGCTGAGCTTGCAGTTAAGTCAACAAAACGCCTCCTCGAAAATAATGTGGGACCAAATGGGTGATCTCAATAATAACGCTTTTGTAAGGGCAATGCTTACAATAAGAAACACACCAGACCCCTACTTGTCAGTTATCCCCCGCTCAAGTATTATTTGGCCATCCCATTCACGACGCCATGCCCAGGATAAAATGCAGAATACCTATGTTTAATAACGACCAATTCTTGAAAACGTGGAGACATGCATGGTCTGCAAAAGAAGAAGCATTACGAACAAGATATGCAAAGACCCTTGAATCACTTCAAGAACATACACGTTTTCTCATACCACTACATGAAGGAGACAGCGTCTTCATACAAAATCAAGTAGGGAACCACCCTAAAAAATGGGATCGTAGTGGAAAAGTTGTTGAATGTAAGGAAAATGACCAATACATCATTAAGGTTGAAGGAACAGGTCGACTAACATTAAGAAATAGAAAATATTTGCGCAAATTCCTCAACCCACTAAAGTCATACGAAACCGAAGTTGCATTGACTACACCACCAAGAACAAGCTCTAGTCACTATAACTCTGCCGATTTGCCAACACCATTTACAGAGTATGTCCCAGAAAGTAGCAACAAAGTCATACCATCCCAACCGGAACTAGCACCATCTACAGTATTGCTACCGTCTTCTACATTAGCACCAGCAGTACCACCACTACCTCTACCAACAACTCCAGTACCCTTACCGTTGATGCCAGCATCTTTATCAACAAGCTCGCCGCATCTAGCGATGCCACCTTTATTAAATACTGAAATCGTAGGAGATCAACCATTGAAACGTTCATCCAGGCTACGTATCCCCAAAAAATTCTACCAACCAGAAACCGGGAAATCTTTGACATTAAATGACTTTAAGAAATGAACCCAGAAATTATGTTTATATTCATTGACACTTAAAAACATGGAAGGGGATGTAGAAATAGTGACATTATTCATTTCTTGTTTTTATATTGTTTTTATATTGTTTTATATTGTTGTTGTTTAAACTTATTGTTATTTCATTTAGAAACTAACATTGTTTAAGATATAATTATAATTGAGAACAACGACTAACTTTTGTTTAATACAAAATCATAAATGTAAATAAACAAAAAGTATATGTTAAAATTATAATAGTATTATATATCAACGTATATCGCCGCAGAATATTCAACGCCATTATGAGAAATACATTTTTTCTTTCTTAGACATTGTTTCGATCACATAACTTGATGACATCAAAAACATTTGCCACATATGTGGCGGTGTGGCAAATACACGGCTGATGAGATCGGAAAACACAGAGATATTTTATTTCGATGAGATCGACAAATTTTACTTAGGATCGGGTGTTAAAATCCCGTTCCCGTAAGCCCAGACAAAAACCATACGGTACCCGTCTGTCAATGTTGGCTGGGTGTGCTTCTTTTAAGTAGTTTAGCTTATTCTTTAACAACACTCCTGTCCCAAGAAATTAAACTGGCAAATGAATCGGTTTATTCACTATGCCCCTATAAGGATCTTAAAAATTAATTTCTTGCATTTGTTACAAAAAAACTACATGAAAATAAAATTAATAGTTTCAAGTTATAAATTGTAACACATGAATAAGTTTTTATTATTTTAATATTTTTTAATTGGCATAATTGATAAATGATAACTATGAGAATAAAGAAAGATCTGGAAGCATAAGAAAGTTGGAAGACAGAAGAGAAAGCATGTAAAGACGCAGATACAGAAGTAAACGAAGCAAATACGGAAAAGAAAGTAAGTGTATATAGAGGCCGAACACAAGAAAACAGCGATAGAGGGAGTGAAGAAAGTAGATATCAAGTAGATAGAGACAAAATAATTCAGAAACGATAGTAGCAATGGTAGCATTGTAATGTTTATAATTGTGGATAATATTTTATTTGAATATTGTTTTTTATTTAATGTTTAATAAAGACTTTAATAGTTTGTTGCTGCATCTCTTATAAAAAATATAATAAAATATATACATATAAAGTTTAAAAACTTGTTTCCAACATAGCTTAATAGTAATTTGAAAGTAGTTTTTAAATGATGATTTTTTATTGAAAAAAAATTACATTCTTATAGTATATATATATATATATATATATATATATATATATATATATATATATATTATATATATATATATATATATATATATATATATATATATATATATACATATATATATATATATATATATATATATATATATATATATATATATATATATATAGTATATATATATATATATATATATATATATATATATATATATATATACATATATATATATATATATTTATATATATATATTTATATATATATATATATATATATATATATATATATTATATATATATATATATATATATTATATATATATATATATATATAAATATATATTATATATATATATATATATAAATGTATATATATATATATATATATATATATATATATATATATATATATATATATATATATTATATATATATATATATTTTCTTTTTTTTTGAACACCATCGCTTTGAAAAATTCATGTACTCAGTTGTATGTCATTGTAAAGCAAAGATAGGTCAGCATTTGCATTGGCGTTGCCGAATGATGACTAGATTTTCACATTTTGTATATATACATACCTAAACACACACACACACATTTTGTTATATATACGTTGCGGTTTTTTGTTATTTTAATTTATATAGTAAACTAAAAATATTTACTAAACACTTTGTTGTTAACTCACATACGTTTGCAACAGGTATTTATTGTTTCTATTCTACATTGTCTTAATGTAGTGTATTTAAATGTAATTTATAAACTAGCATACTTAAATTTTATTTTGACTGTTTTGCTCAGCTGGAGTAACCTTTTATTTTTTTAAAAAGACTTGACCTACTTTTTTATTTCTGCTTTTTTTTTAAGAAATAAGATGTTCTAATAATATTTAAACTCAGTGAATATAATTATTGATTTATAATGATTTTAATAATTAATTTTATTTTTTCCCTAGTTATGGACCCAAAAAAAAGTAATGTATTTTATGGTGCAGCCAAAAAGTATTTAATTGATAACTTCGCATTGCCAGCTCAAACCAGTGAGTGTATGAATGGGTACATTCTTTTTGTCTCTGCCAGATGCAGAGAATCAGCAACTAAAACTTACGATCAAATCACTAATATTTTAGAATCATAACATCAAAAATTCAAATTGAAAATGTGGTGAAAAAACAACAAATCTGGGCAAAGCATTTTTTAGAATAAGTTATTATGAACAATTTTTGGCCTTTTGCTGTGAGCTCTATGCAAACCCTAATACTGCTGATGTATTTTTATCAGCTTCAACACATACAATACAGTCATTACAGACTACAAACATTAGTTTAATTACAACATGATCTGTAATTGTACCACCTCACCAAGGCAATATTTTATCTTCATTGCAAATTGAACTTAAAACCTCAGTTTTTAATGAAAATATATCAAACAGAAATGCTTCAGGAGAGGCTATGACGCCTAGGAAAAAAAAGCTAAGAACTAGATTTTTTTATTTATCTTCACAGTTGGCTAACTCTTTTACTAAACACAAAAGCAAGATAACAGAAGTAAAAAGAAAATTAATTATCATGCCGTACAAATTAAAAGTTTTAAAGCAAAGTGTAAAAAGAAAGGTAAAGAATTTAATCTTTAAGAGCTGAGGTCAGAGATTTGAAAAAAAAAATTACAAACATATTATTACAGTAGGCGAATTTGTAATATTAATGCTACAAAAAAGGCAATGAAAGTTAAAGAAAGAAAAAAGTATAGAAATGAAACTCTCAAACATAATGCTGCTATTAAAAAAAATACACTGGTTATAACTAGCTTAGAAAATGATATAACCAATATAGAGGAGGGCAATTTACATAATACAAATATATCAGATAGTAAAACTTATCCATTACAAATGCGGATGACAATTTGTAGCATGATATTGTTCAACGTCCCAACTGGTAACATTCCATTTTTAGTAGGTAAAATTGCTCAATATTTAGGTTTTGTGTTTTCTCAAATTCCTCACTGTAAAACTGTGGACCAAATGGCTCGTGAGCTTGGCAGTATCGCAGACCTCCAAGTAGCAGAATGGACCATTTATAAATTATTTAATGGGTTTGACGCAACAGTATTCACTTAACGTCCAAAATCAAATGCCAGGTTATTGCTATCAACCAGTTACCGGGTGGGACAGCTTTTGACTATGCAAACCACATATGTAACAAAGTTGATCATACTGCTATAGTTTATTCAGAGTTTCAATTAAGTTCCTAATTAAAGTCCTAGAATGTCGTTGTTTGGTCACCTCAAATACATCAAACACCATGTCAGAGTTTCCGTTAACTATCTTGCAACTATAAAAGTTGGTAAAATCTGGGCTAAAAATATTAACGAGCTTAACTGCATTTGTACTTTCTTGACACAACGTTTAGCAATAAAGTGACTGGAAATTGAAACTTGTTAATTATTTGGATATAAACGTATGGCAGTCAGAATTATTTTGGCTATGAATAAGATGAGATTTAAAGTCGTCAAAGGTGATCGACAGGGATTTGTAAATTTTTTAGACAATAATGAGTTGCCACGAGGTATTATTCCAAGGTATCGTGGAAACCGCTTTCATATACGGTTCCACACTTGTTTCATTTTTGTAAAACACTTTGATAATTTTATGAAATTTTTGACAATTAGTGCGGTAAAGCGAAAAACCTTACAAAAATCTCTGCGGGAAGCATTTTGTAATACAACTGCTATAAAACAAATACGTGTGCTTGCATTATTTAGAAAAATTGTAATAGGGCCCTGGATGACAAAAGTTTATGGATCATCTTAAAAAGCAAAATTTGATAATGTTGGTGGTATTTCAATAATTAAAAAACTTGTGCAAACAGTTGAAGATTGCAAATGTGATCCAGCAGCACTGTTTTGCAAAACAACAGACTTTTTTGGAAAAACTCTCTTTCCAAATATTTTTGAACCAATAACAAAAATATGTGCAAATAATACTTAGATTATCACTATGAATAAAGCTTGTCTCATTGCAACAAACGAGGTTTTGAATCAGCAGTATAAGCGCCATTTTTCCACTATAATTACATAGGAACTTCTAGAGGAAACAGCAAGTGCACGGCTTCATAACATAGACAGCGAGGAGTTAAAGGGAATGTTTAGTGCTGCAAAAGGAAGATCCCCTAATGCAACAATTTATTATATATCTTGCAAATTAAGAACCAAGAAGAATAGGATACTGTGGATTATCTTGACAATCTTAATAATTTTTGTGGACAAAATGTAATTAAACGGGCTATTTAGGCAGCACAAAAAAATCGAATAAAAACTCGACTCGAACTGAGATTTCAAAGTAGTGGAACTTGCAAAAAATTTGTATCGCAAGTATTGGAACTTGCGAAAAGGTGCAGCAAGTAGTGAAACTTGCAACTTTTTCGATAGACAATTACATTCACGTCGTGTCTATTGTTAACAATGACTATTATTTAGTTTCATTGTTGGAATTTAATAATAATCATTAACTTAACGCTAAGACAAAAATAAACTAAAATATCATTTTAAAACATTTTTGTACTTGTTTATTTTTTTTAGGTTGAAGGAGGTCATCCCCCACATTCAACAAAAAAATTTCTATAACCTTGTAAAGAGATCTTTAGTCAGGTGCATCTTGTAATATGGTAAATTTTAATATTTAAATTTTTTAAATGCTTGTTCATTCATGAACTCATTCACCGCGAACCTTCACCGCGAACGGACGTGTTTTTTTTTTATTACTAGTTATCAAACAAATTTCAAAATGGCTACTAAAAATTTTACATCAGCACAATTGAAAGATATTTTGGAAATTCATGAAAATACTTTTATGAAGATGTTTAATGATAGAATTGAAAAGCTTGAAAACAAATTAAACTCAGTAATTGACGAGAATAAGGAACTAAAAAAGGAATTAGGCGAACTTAATAAAGCTGTTGAATTTGTAAGTAATAATTATGATAAAATAGTTGCTGATCATCAAACATCAAAAACATCATTGATAAATGAATATGCAAATTCTAACATGATTAACAAATTGGCTGAACTTGAAGACAGAAGTCGACGCAACAACTTAAGATTCTGTGGGATTGAAGAAGTTGAAAATGAAAGCTGGGAGGACAGTGAAAATAAAGTAAGAGAATTTTTAAATAATATACTTCAGCTACACGGAAAATTTGAAATTGAAAGAGCACATCAAGTCGGAAAGAAACTACCTGAAAACAATAAAAAAAACAGATCGATCGTAGTCAGATTTCTTAACTACAAAGACAAAGCCACGATTTTAAGAAAATACACGACGATGAAATTGTGGACTCAAAAGGTTTACATAAATGAAGATTATAGTGATCATACGATGGAATTGCGAAAAAAACTCCTGAATGAGGCAAAAGATTTAAGGGCAAAGGGTAAGTACGCTAAAGTTATATATAATAAATTAATCACACGGGATTTATAAAGAAATTCTTTGATCTTATTTCGATTATGAAAAAACAAAAATAAAATGGATTCTAACGAAACCTTAAATTTTGAGTCTAGTTTTTATAATTTTTTTCAAACAAATGATTTCTTATTAGATGATGAATCTGATCTTGATCTTAATTATTTTTCTAATTCTGGTGCTTTGCAAAATAAATGTAACTACTTTTATACCCATGAAATTAAAGGATTTCTTGATCAAAATAATATTAACACAATTCACATTAATATCCGCAGTTTAAAAAAAAAATTTGAAATCTTTTGTAATTTTATTGAAGAAACTTGTAATCTATTTAATATAATTTGCTTAACAGAAACATGGTGCAGTTCAGATGACGTAAATTTTTTTACCAATTTTGAACTGCCGGGTTTTAATGTAATTTCATTAGCACGAAAAACAAATAAGCGTGGCGGAGGCGTTCTTATTTATGTTAAAAATAACTTACGATATTTTACCCGGCATGACATGAGCATCTCTGATGCTGATAAAGAGGTTTTAACGATTGAAATTTTAACCAATAAAATAAAAAATAAAATTCTAAGTTGTTGTTATCGCCCACCTTCAGGTGAAATTAAAAATTTTAATTCGTTTTTATCTAATGACGTTATTAAAAAAAGTAACCACGAAAATAAATTTATCTACTTAGTGGGTGATCTGAATTTAGATTGTTTTCAATACCACGCACAGTGGGCCAGTAGGTGGACAAAACTAAAAAAATTTATGTCTGAAAACTGAAATTCTTTTTAAAAAGTTTTTACTTAGATACATTGAGGACCTTAAAAATAATTACAATAAATTAAAAAAATATATATTCTCAACAAAAACTCATTCAAGTAAAATTTTTGCAAAAAAAAATGGCGATAAAGTGAGAAAACGTAGTTTTTAAAAAAGCAAAAGTGTGTAATAAATTTTTAGTATATTGGTTAACTGTTTTTGTTAACATATTAAATAATTGTTAATATATAAAATTTTAAACCAGTTTTAGATATATTTTTTGGTAAAAATTGGACTTTTTTTTTAATTTTTTTTGAAAAGACAACAAGGAAAAATTTGTGCTCTATTTTGCCTTTATCTCTTATACATATTTTGAAGGCTATATGTATATGTTTTTATAAAATTATTAATTTAGCTGCTAGTATCTGCTACTTTTTTTAATACTTATAATACTTTTTAATACTTATACTTTATAAAATCAAAGATGTTTCTTTTTCAAGTTTCTTTTGTCGCAAAATAACAAGTATTTATATATATATATATATATATATATATATATATATATATATATATATATATATATATATATATATATATATATATATATATATATATATATATATGTTAATACAACTTTTTAATGTTTATATTATTTTAGTCTAATAATATTATTATTAGTAATATGTCAACCATCACAAGATATCAAATTCATCAATTCATAAGACAGCATGGTTTATCTATGTCTAATGAAAAAGACAAACTTTATGTTTACAATTTTATTCGTGAATACTGTTCTGAATTTGATGCTCAGTTTGTTATCTTTTTGTCCAAGTATCGTAAACGTTGGTCTTTAAGTAAAAGAATTGATGAAAACTTTATGAAACATAATTCGGTATGGCTTCAAAAAGACTTTATTAAGTCATTTAAAAATCAGGATAATAAAACTGAATCTATAGTTAGTGGTTGACCTGTAAAATTATTTGATGATTCATCAAATAAGACAAAGAGTCGTAAAGTAGCAGCTATGGACTTATTAACTTGTTCATCAAATGAACTGTTGTATGCTAGTAGTTGTAATCTTTTTAAAGATAGCAGAAGAAAGGATGCAAAAGTAGTTCGAAGTTTATCTATTAAGCAACCTTTTGATACAGAACATACTCAAAACACTCTAAATGAAGCTCTAGCACTCATATTAGATATTGATATGAGCAAATCTGATTACCAACGCTTGAGAAATAATGCTTTGAGCAAAGGTTGTAATCTCTATCCTGCTTACAATGATGTTCGTGCTGCTAAAGAACAGTGTCTTCCTGAAAAAACATTATGGACTGTAAATGATTTTTCAGCAGAAATAAACTTTCAAGCATTAGTCAATCATACAGCAATACGCCTAATACAGTTGCAGAAACAAGTTATTGATTCAATGAATGATCTTGAAAGGTTGACTTTATATTCTAAAGTTGGGTTTGATGGATCAACTAGCCAAAGGATTTATAATCAAGTAACAGTTGAGAAAGAAAACAGAGATCTTTTAGAAGAAGCTAGTTTGTTGATTTCTTGTTTTGTTCCACTTCAGTTGTTTGGATTCATTAATGATAAAAAAATAGTAATTTGGTCTAATCCACATCCATCTTCAACTTTATATTGCAGACCAATAAGATTTTCATTTAAAAAAGAAACCATTGAAGTTTTGAAACAAGAGAATCAGTTTATTAACAATTCAATTGCAAATTTGTCTTTAACATTTTGTGAAAACTTAACAATACTTCATAAAATTGAAATAACGATGGTGGACGGCAAAGTTGCTACAGCATTATCTACAGCAACTACATCTTCTCAGTGTTGTTCTGTTTGTGAATGCAGCCCAAAAAAAATGAATGATCTTAATGCAGCTAAAAATATGCCATTGACAGAGATAGGTCTCTGCTTCGGTCTTTCAACTCTCCATGCTTGGATTAAAAGCATGGAATGTCTTCTTAAAATTAGTTATAAATTGACAGTGAAAAAGTGGGCTACAAGAACTATATCTGAAAAGAAAATTATTCAAGAACGGAAACAAAAAATCCAGATAAGGTTTTGTGATGAAGTTGGACTGATAATTGATATGCCAACATCTGGTGGCTCTGGGTCTTCAAATAATGGAAACACTGTTAAAAAATTTTTTCAGAATGCAGAGAAGTCTGCTCAAATTCTTGAACTTGATGTCAGTATGATAAAGATGTTGCATGTGATTTTGTGTACATTGTCATCTAAGTTTCTAATTGATTCTTCACTATTTAGAGAATACTGCTACAAAACAGCTGAGAAGTATGTAATCCTTTATCCATGGTATCATATGCCACAGAGTCTGCATCACATTCTTATTCATGGTTGGCAAGTTGTAGAGAGAATGGCTTTGCCTATTGGCATGCTCAGCGAAGAGGCAGAAGAAGCTCAAAATAAAAATTTTAAGAAATTTCGAGAATCATTTTCTAGAAAGTGTTCGCGTTCCAAAACAAACGAAGATTTATTAAGGCGACTAATGTGTTCTTCTGACCCTTTGATAAGTAGTTTGAGAAAACCCCATCATCCTAAGAAAAACGCTCTTCCAAATGGAGTTTTTGATCTTCTTAAAGAGGTTCCAATTTTTGACTAAGTGTCAATGACATGGTTTTGATTTTCGTTGGTGTTTAAGATGGTGTTTACTTTATAAGTATTTAATATTTACATAATAAAATAATGAATATAAAAGTTTGTTTACTTATATATTCGTTATAAAATTTTTTGTATCTCTAATTGCATAAAAACTTGCTTATTTTTATATGGTTGCTAAGGGTATCTAAACTACACAGTTAAAATTTAATTAACTGTTCCTGTAAACCTTTATAGTTAAGAGTGTTTTAAATGTTTTTATTTCATTTTTTAAAGAAATTTTGAATTAAGAAAAAGTTTCAAAAAAAATTAACAACTGGTTTCTAAGAGCACATAACAGCATAGTAACACCAAAAATTGATAATTTTTTGTTTGTGTTATCATTCAAATACATAAAATAGCAATGTAGCATTAATATCAGTTTAGTTTATAACTTTGATATTTTGAGAAAGTCTTTTTATTTAGGTAACTATGCAAAATGCCTGTTGACATGAAATATAGGTATCCATGGCAACCAAATAAACAATCTAATGGTGCCATTAGATTTTTTATATGAAATATACTCAAGCTGCTAATTATGGGAAAAACCTGATAAATATTTTAAAAGTTATTAATTTTGTCCAGCCAATAATGATTTTGGCCCACTGTGCCACGTCAATAATAACATTAAAAGGTTTTATAATGGCATTTTTGAAAATGGTGCGATTCCCTTGATTAGCAAACCGACAAGAATTACTCAATCAAGTGCCTCTTTAATTGATAATATTTTAACCACTGATGTTTTTAACGAATCCTTAAAAAAGGGCATAATTAAAAATGACATATCTGATCATTTTCCTATTTTCTTTTCTATAAATATAGATAATATTATTATCTATATTATATATTATCTATATAACTAATTTATTATTATCATAATAAATTAGTTCCTAATGAAAAACGAGTTTTCAAAAAGCGATTTTTTACAAATGAAAACCTTAAATCTTTTAAGGAACAATTATCTCTAATTGATTGGAGCATTATTAACACCTCTGATGATATAAACTTAGTTTATAACTCCTTTTTTAAATCTTTCTATGATATTTATGAAACTAATTTCCCTGAAGTTAATTTAAATCTCAAAGCTAAAAGTATTAAATCGCCTTGGATTACAAAGGGTTTGCGGAAGTCTTCAAAAATTAAACAAAAATTATACATTAATTACTTAAAATCTAAAACAAATGAAAATAAAATTATATATAAAAATTACGCTAAACTTTTTGAAAGCCTCAAGAAAAAACAAAAAAAAAATTATTATTTAAATTTACTAAATATATATAAATTAAATTTTAAACGCACTTGGTTTATAATAAGAGAAATTACTGGCAGAAAAAAATGTACATCTCACTCTTTGCCAAACACGGTTAAACATAATAATGAATTTTTATATGATAAAAGACAAATTACGGAAGAATTTAATAAATATTTTGTGTCTGTAGGACCTAATCTGGCAAAAAGAATTCCTATAGCTAACGGTTTAATGAATGATCTACGTTTCCCTCTAAACTTTTACTTGAACTCTTTTGAATTATCTTTTGAAGAGTTTGAAAATGCCTTTAAAATGTTAAAATCTAACAAAGCAGTAGGCCTTGATGGTATTAATGGCAACATTATTATAAGTTCATTTGATGTTTTAAAAGATATACTCTTTAAAATTTTTTCAATATCAATTAAACAGGGAATTTTTCCACATGCTCTAAAATTAGCAAAAGTCATACCAATATTAAAAAGTGGTGACATTGAGAATATAAGTAACTATCGTCCAATTTCACTCCTTTCTGTATTCTCTTAATTTGGCTAAAAAGTTACCTAAATAATCGAAAAAAATTTGTTTATGCGAATGATAACGTATCATCTAGTTTGTTAAATATTTCATGTGGAGTTCCTCAAGGATCCATATTAGGACCTCTCCTATTTTTAATATATATTAATGATCTACCAAAAGCTTCTAACCTAATGACAATTATGTTTGCTGATGATTCTAACCTATTTCTTTCTCATAATAACATTTTTACACTTTTTAGCAATATGAACATTGAACTAGTCAAAATTTCCGAATGGTTTAGATTAAACAAACTATCACTAAATATTGATAAAACTAAATGGATTCTTTTTCATCCTTATGGTAAAAAACACCAGCTGCCTAGCAACTTACCTTTTCTATTTATCGATAACATAGTTATTAATAGAGTTTTAGTGACAAGATTTTTAGGTGTATATATCGATGAAAATCTTACATGGAAATGCCACATTGCTAACTTGTGCAGTAAAATTTCAAAGAGTATAGGCATTTTATACAAAATAAGAAACGTTCTTTATAAAAATACCTTAATTCAATTATATTATTCGTTAATTCATTGCCATATCAACTATGCAAACATTGCTTGGGGTAGCACTTATAAAAGTAAACTTAAACCTCTCTATCGGCAACAGA